GGTGTGTTTTTGTTCCCCGTTTTGCTTACAGACGCAGTCGACCAAACTTATAAACATTGTTTTTTCCAGCGGTATTCTCAAATTTAAAAACCGTTGCCGACCCAACCTTTGTGGGTCGGTTGATGGTTGGCAACCGAATATTTGGTTCCGAAATAGGTCGGTTGATGGTTTATACCCGCCACCTAGTCAGCGTAAATAAAATTCAAAACTTTGAGTAAAAATATCCACATTTTGCGTAATGCCACGGTGCGATCATCATTTATTAGTTCAAAATAATTAATAACAATTTAACGAAAAAATATAATTAAGAAATTCAAAGTAATTTCAAACATGCACAAGAGATTTAGTGGAGTTTTGCGAGCTTTTTGTTTAAGGTTGGGCATAAAAAACTGATTGAAGATTTAGGTCAATTTTTTTTCCTTTATTGATTGTTTTAAAATTTAAAATACAAATAATTTTGATAATTTCAATAACCACTTAAGAAAACATGGCCTTTGTTTTATATTTTTAATAAAATTTTAATAGTATAGTTGGATAACCGATAATTATCGGTCAACCAACTTTTGATAATATTAGAAACCATCAACCGACCCATTATAGATGGGTTGGTTGAAATTTTCGACCCGATCCAATGGGTCGGTTAAAAATTGATTATCCGCCTAAAAATATGGTCGGTAATGGGTTGGTTGGTGGATAAAAACCAACCCAGTCCCAGCCCTAAGCGTCGGAGATGTTTCGGCTTTTTCTTTCCCTGATTATAAGGGACTTGGTTTATGTGCTTACTGTACATCATGTATCAGTTTGTGCACATAACCCGATGCAACATCTAACTCGTGTTTTTCGTCTCTTGAATTTTTTTTATTTTTTTATTTTTTTGTTGCATTCAAGTACATTTATTTAGGAATTATTTAAGTATCAATCAGTGTTGGGAGACGAGTGAATTAGTTAAATTGGCTGCCTAACACTTTTACTCCATAAAATGAATTAACAAATAAAACTTTGGCCCAAGTCTACAAATGAGGCCCAATTCTACATTTGAGGCCTACTTAACTACTTAGGGGAGAATAAAAAGATCGTCCACTTATTTACTTATTCTTTTAATGAAAAATCATTTTTCAGGGAATCATGGTTGGGGTTTTAGCTCGTAAATCAATTTGGCTAGTTTCATACACGATTCAGATCTCAATACTATACTTTGAATATTCCACTGATACTTTTTAAGTTTCGCTTATAGTTAGCTCCCTACATTTCCTTAAATGTCTTGAATGCCCTTCATTAACGAGGGTTGTTGACTATCACCAAATACGTCAATTTCTCTGACAGAGAGTAGAGAGCTATGAATGGTGGCAATGTAGACAGACGTGAAAGAGGTTAGAGGTTGAGCATGACATTTTTTTTGATTTGAATACGAAACAAAAACAAAAATAATATCTGAAAAAATAGTTCATTTAGATTTAATGTAATGTAGCAATTGGGGCACGTGATTTGCACATGTTGATGGGCTCTCGTATCAAAGTCATGTCACTTAAAGCACATGGGCTCATACAAATGCTCTCTCTATGGCCCGGGCCCTATTTTATGTACTACATTTAATGCCTTTGGTACCACTTTATCCTTCACTTGTGCACCATCTCTCTCTCTCTCTCTCTAAATATATCTTTTAAGGTTTCTGTCACATTTCAAGATTGTACCTTTATGCATGTTTTTTTATGTAGGCCTTCAGCACCAAGGTACCATCTTCTCAAATACACCCCACATGAAAACTTACAAGTAAAAAACAACACACACACACACATTCGAAAAGTCGAGCAATTTTTAGCCTTTTTTTCTTTCTGATGAGTAATTTCTTTTTCGCCTGGATGCTTGCAATAATGCAGTATGGAATCAGTGAAGGGAGCAGCCTTCGGCCTCAAGGTACCGGCTAGCGTATATACATGCATCGAACAAATTTAGTTCTTGATGATGCACCTTAAAAATTGTGTGTGTGTGTGTGCAGAGTGTGCAGGAAGATGCACAAGAAGATGCTCAAAGACTGCATTCAAGAAGCCATGCATGTAGTAAGTGTTTGGGTGTGCCACCTGGCACATATGGCAACAACCAACTCTGCCCTTGTTACAACAACTGGAAAACCAAAAGGGGTGGCCCCAAATGCCCATAGACAAGAAGAATACAATCATCTCTACATTCAGCATCAATGTCTTAAGAGGCATAGAGAGAGATATTCAGACAAACACATTCTTGAATCGAGCTATATTACACCAACTTTAAGTAACCATTGAAAGAACGGTCTTACAAACTGCAGACGAGTTAGCATTACGTCACCGAAAGAAAAAATAACCTCTACAAATAAACAAACATGGAAGAACATAAACAAGGATTACAAAATAAGGTCAATAATAATCAACCAAGCTTCGTTTTTTTTTTTCTTTTCACCTCCTATATCTCCAAGCCGAAACCGAGAAAAGCGGCCGATCTTGCCAGCAAATCACCACACAACCGTTCTCGTCTTTAATATTATAACCCTCGCAGTTGAACCCTTGCATCAATCTCTTCGCCTGCAGCATAGCGTAATAGCTAAGAGGCACATTCGCAAAACCACAAAATTCGAATCTTTGGCTCCACTTCTCGAGCTTTTCGTGCCTCTCCTTCCTCTCAACACCCTCGCACGCAATGATATTCTTGATCTCCTCGCCCAAAACCATCTTCTCCATTTTCAACCTCTCCAAAGATTCCCTCGGCAGAGAAGATTCCAAGCAATCGAACAACGCTGCGTAAAAGTACAAAGCCCCCGATAGCCTCTCCATCAAACCCTTCCCATTGTGATCGGAATCTTGCTCAGTCACCACCATAATCTTCGGAGACAAACCCCACAAACCACTAATAAAACTATCGATTCTAGCCGAAGAAGACAAGGGCGGTGAAGAAGAGCCCGATTCGTTATCCTTATCAAGCATCTCCCTTTGCAAGTGGGACCCGTTTCTTGGGTCGTTATTCGGAGCTAAGAGCGTGTGCAGCTGCGTAAACGAGCTAATCGCTAGAGCCTCCCCTGTTTTGACACGCAAATTCTCGAACTCAAGATTCTCCAATTTGCAAACAATGGGGTTGAATTGAAACGGCAAATCCAACTTCTCGGCTTCTTGGGTCAAGATTCGGGCCATGTGATCCAACACCTCCTTTCGGTGATGGATACCCGTTATCCTCAAATGGGGAGGGCCTTCGGGTCGGGCCCGTAAGTCTTGGATGAGGGCCCGCCATTGTGTGGGGTCCGCTGCGTTTAGGTCGATCAAATGAACCATTTTTTCGCCCTCCATTGCCTCGATAATCGCTTGGTTGGCTATCACGGATGCCACCTTCGTAAATGGGAGAAAATCTGAGAACATTTTGCGAACGAGGATTTCTTCGGAAAGAAACGAGATTTTAGTGGAGCGGAAGGCCTTGTAAATGCCGGGCCATGTTCGGAGGATTCTATCCGCCAGAGCCTCCGAAAAATAGGAGGCGATTCGCTGCATTGTGTCCCCGTTTGGGGAGGCGAGGTGGGAGATTTGATCGAGGGCTATGTTTGCGTTTTCGAAGCTGCCTTGTGAGACATGGTTGGCACAAGTGACTAAGAGATGGATTAGGTACAATCCTCTCTCCTCGGGCTTTAGATCTTTGAGCCATGGATATGGAGACATGGTCAAACTAGGAGGTAAAGACATCATCGGAAACATTTGGAGGGGTGATGATGTAACAGAGGATGACCCCTCTTCTTGAAACATTTGGGCAAAGAACAGATTTTTATTTTAATTTCTGTAGAAAAACGGATTAAACTAAATTAAAGCAGGCACCTTTTGATATGAATTAAATCGCAGTTCCAAAATGAGGAAAAAATTCCCAAGAATTACTTAAGATCAACGCAGAAAAATTAGTAGCTACAAAATTAGTTGCGAAATTCAAGAACTCACTAACCAGACAAAGATTTCTGAATTGCTTTACTGGGTTTTTCAATTCAACAAGAACCCACAAGAAGCCCCATGCAAATTTCCAAAACCAGCCAGAGCACTTAAAATCTTTTCTGTTCAAGAAATAGAGAGAGAAAGATGTATAGAGAGAGAGAGAGAGAGAGACAAAGGGGTTTCTTTTATTTCTCAATTTAAGGTTATTGTAGAGGAGGAGGAGGAGGATTTGTTAGATGACCACGTTGCGATGTGGGAGTAAAGCGTGAGGGGAGTTGTTTTGTCGTGACTGGTTTGGTGTCCTTTTGCCTGTTTGTAAGAATATGGAATTTGTGAGAACAAGTGCCCATCTTTGTACCTTTGTTTTTTCTTCTGCTTTATTAATATTTTTCACAATTAAATATAAAAAAAAAAAAAATTGGGGTTCTTGAAATTTGTTCAAATTTAATGTCTGAGGATATCATCACTTGTCATTTTCTCCTCAAATGGAGGAAGGAAATACAGAGTCTCTGTTGACAGTGACGCCCTACTACTTTCTCTACCTGCAAAATAATTACTCGCCCATCGGAAATTCCTATATACTTTCTCCATTTTGTTTTTTTTTTTTTTTAATTTATTTATTTATTATTTATTTATTGTACTATTTATTAGGTTTGTCTGAAATTTGAATCCAATTTCAGTTGGACTTGTGTTTGATGACCATTTTAATAGATTTTGGTTACTAAAATATTATCCATTAAAATGCTCGATAATCTGCGAAAATAGGAATAAAATCAAGGTTAAAATATGGCTACATATGAGGTAACATCAAATTACGAAAAAATCCTTCTTGTTTGGCTAATTACAACCACCCACAAATATGAATTTTATTACACGTCCACTATTTACGGTTTCAAAAGTTGGATCTTCTACATTATGTGGAATCTTCTTCAGGTTGTACCCATTTTATCCCATTTGAGCTCTACATTTTGAAATAAGATGATCATAAGATGTCTCTTCTCTTGGCTTATAAATATCAGATTGCGGCATTCAAAAACTTCATTTTTGCACAAAATGAGTACAAACTAGATAACATTCCACGAAATATAAAAGATTATGTTGAGTTTAACACCATCAGGATGAACGTGTAAGAAGATTCATATTTGAAGGGTGTTTCTAATTACCCAAACAAGGACTTTTTAGTAATTTACCATTGATTTTATTAGTATTCTAATCAAAATTATATATGAGATTTTAATTTCCAATTGAATATAATATTTTGAAAATATAAAAAAATAAAAATAAAAACTATTTTTCTTACCTAAAAAAGACAATTCACTACATAACATAGTCAAAATACTAGAATTATGTTTGTAAGTTGCTTTGGGCAGGCTCGTTAGAAAATTTTGGAATCACCTTCACTTTTGTTTTATGTTTGTCATGACACAAGGTGGATAAGGAATCAAAGGTCTGTGCCCTAAAACAAAAAAAGTCTAAAATAATATTCTTCAAGAATCACTAAGATCCAAACACGCCCTAACAAAGCCAAACAATAATGCCATCAGTTTTGTTCCCAAGTGTGGGAATTGCAAGAAATTCTCACACATACTTCCAAACACACACTTCTCTTTTCTTCTGACTTTTCAAATTAGGTGCTCCTCAATTTAAACCATCCATAAAGTAAACATCACAATTTGCAAGATTTGGTACTCCCTTTTCACCTGCTTTTTTAAATCAATATATTATAAATAATAATAATTATTTAAAAAAAGAAAAAAAAAACAGGTCAATAAAGACATCTGCATAATTCAAATAATTTCTTTTAGGACAAAAATCTTCATATGATGTATTTTTTTAGCACGTAACCCTTCCAAATGGTGAGTTTTTCGGGGCTAATTTGCTAAAAAAATTGAATCGTAGGGGTTTTTTTAAAACATAGATGGGCCAAATGCAATAAAACCCCGGAAATTATTCGTTCGATATGTCAAGTAATGTCGGAATAGACAATGAGAAAGATAGTCGACAATCTGCTTTATCAAGAAATATGAGAAGCATATTACCCCAACAAAACCAAAAAAAAAATGGAGCAGTTGAAACAAAATTAGAAAGATAGTCGACAATCTGCTAAGTCTTTCATGTTATTCAAGTTAAGTTTTTATTATGTGCAGTTGTTGGCTTCTCCATCTGCTCAATTAGATGCCTCCCAAAAAAAAATTAATAAAAAAAAGTCGCAATTTATTAGTGCTTCTCTTATAGTTGTTCTAGTCGAGTCTACCGGTTTAAATACTAAATAAAAGACATGAACAAGTCCCGTAAAAAAATGTTCAACTCTTGAACAGAGTGTCTATTGTATGGTGAATAATTGATAGTGAATAAATCTTTACACAGTAAAGAATATTGAAAAGGTTTGAAACTTACCTTAAGAACTTTGTTCTCGGAGCTGAGAAAGGGAGACTGCAATCTGAGCACCTACGCGTGCGTTATTTTTCACAAGAGCGATATCTAATTCCCACATTAAGGAAATTCATATGATGAATGAATTAAATCGAGCACGAATTTACTTTTTACCAGTTATTTAGTAATTAGTAGTAATATTTAGTTAAGATGCTAAACATTTAATTGAAGGATACTCGAAGCAAGGGATGCTCCTCCGGTTAGCTCGTTTACTCTAGCAAGTAAAAAAGGAGTTTCGGCACTACCAGTGATATTCTTCTCTCTGAGTCGCAAATTAATTTTATTAAAATATTGAATGGCATAATAAAGATAATATTTAAACTAGTTATGGAATGGACTAACCGAGCTTCGCTAAGAGCTTTCTGTATTGCTGATTCGATTGTTTTTCCTGAAGCAGAATGTTCGCTTGGAATAGGGACTCCTATTAGAATTCCAGTCCCGAGTTTAAGATTACTGCTCGTATCTGTGATGTTTGGGAGAATTAAATTAGCAAATTATGAAAATAAAAAAAATAAAAAAGAAAAACCCGAAAAGATGACATAAATACAACGCACCTATTAGTCGGGCACACTCTTCAGGCGAATCAACACGACTAGGTGCCTATAATTTTACGTCAAATAATCAATTAACGAAATAAGGAAAAAAATCTAAGAAATCAATGTACTTCTATTAAATTCAGCATTAAAGTTTCGATAACGCAAAAAGTGAGTTACCTTGAAGCCACTTTTATCAGTGAAAAAGGCAGGGAATTCGCTGGTTTGATATGCAGTAACACATACTCCTTGAGTTTCCTGGACCCAAACGAAGCATTGTTTATTTATTTATTTTAATAAATAATTCCATTAGCCCATAAATATTAATGGAGGTAAAGGGTGGTGCAAATTACCAAATACTCCAGGGTTCTTGAAATATCTAATATTGATTTCACCCCTGCAGAAACTACAGCAACAGGTGTCCTTCCTAGCTCCACCAGATCCGAAGAAATATCCATTGCTGTTACCAAAAAAAAAATATTGGAAAATAATCAGAAACAAATCGATTTATATATTTATATATATATGATATATGATATATTATATATTATATAATTATGTGAAGTAGCGAAGACTGAACGTACTACTCTCTCCATGTCTATGAACTCCACCAATACCCCCGGTGACGAATATTGGAATGCCAACCTACACAAGATCGAAGTAACATTCAGCAAACATTATTTTCTTTTTAAATAGTACCCCGAAGAAAAACGAAATAAGCATGAAAAAAGTCAATAATCATACCATCGATGCAAAAAACATTGTTGCAGAAACAGTTGTCGCACCATTCCCTCTGGTAGCTATCTAGAAAAGTGACAAGAAAAATAATCCTTTTGGTAACAAATAATTTCCCGATGCATTATAAGTTTATAACTATTTATCGAAAATATAAAAATAACTCATTTAAAGGAACTCTTTGAAACTTTTAATCCGACTCTGAGACAAGTGTAAACAATACTCACAACATGTGCAATGTCCCTACGAGCTGTCTTTCGAGCCTTTCTTCCTAGAATAGCAAGCCTTTCGAGTTCTTCCACAGATAAACCTTGAAATTAAATGCTACGCATCAGACATTTTTTTACGAATACCAGCAAAAAGGCTGGAAACCGTTAAAGAATTTTACAATTTCAAATATTCATGAAACGGTAGGTTAATTTATTGCTACCATCCGAACAAGTAAGATACTCAAAAGGGTAAATTGCTTACTTAACATGTCATATTATCAGCCATTATGATCTTTACTCGATGCACCATTTTACAAAATTCAAGCTCCTAATTTGGTAAGAGCAAAGATTCTATTCGAAAAGTCAACGCAAGTCAAACTAATATAGAAAGTTTTGGACAATCACCTATGCACGATACGCCGTCCAAAATAGCAATAGTGGCAGGTACAGCTCCGTTCTGCCTTACTATTTCCTCCACCTCTTTGGCTGTCTCCAAATTTTGCGGATACGGCATTCCTACGTACATGATAAAAAAGATAAAGGGTGACGTGGCATTTATTTATTGCTCGATTACTTAAACCACGAGTGATTATACAATATAAAATAATTGTGCATAGAGTTTAGCAACCATAGTTTTTCTTGAACAACACTGCATTATTAAAAAATAATAACATCATTATTTTGTATGCATTACGCAATTGTCTACGAAACAAAGGCAAGCATGGAAACACGAACTAAACTATCATCACAAACTCGCACATATCTACTCAAAATTACACAAAATGTCATTCAAATGTAATGCAATTGCAAATTGGTCCTTCAAATGTGATCACGATCACTACAAGCCCGTTAACGGAGAACTCGACAGTCCCTTAATTACTTTCAATTTTGATTCCCATCTACCATTATCGAATCAAAATATGAAAAAAAAAAAAAATGCAAATCAATTTCGTCTCGGGTGAATCTTACCATGAGAAATAATGGTGGATTCAAGAGCAACAACTGCTTTACCAAGTGATAGAGCTTCTGAAACTTCTGGGGATATCTTAATTAGGTTTTCACCCTACACAAACAAACGATTAAACTGTAATCAACGCGAAACGTGGGCAAAAGTACTGCGATAAACATCGTTCCTCTTGAATTAATACAAACAATTTTCGAACAGTATTAAATTTCCAATTTTCATGAACAAAAATAAATTCCTTAACCGGAGAACTTAATAAATACCTTGGGGGTGGGGTTTAAGTGGTTTTGGAGGTTTGTTATTCTGGAGAGTGCCCAAGACGCCATTTTTGCTGAATTTGTTTGTTGCAGAAGCGATTGTTGCGCTTTTATATAGTGTTGTAGTGGAGATGCAAAGTCGTGTTATTTTCATTTACTTGGGATTAAGAAACGTGTTTGGCTAAATGATTTGAATCCGATATAATTGAAATTCATTTGTAGACAAACCCAAGTTAACTGGCCCAATAAGCCTAATTAGGAAAATATAATATATTTTTGGGTAAATTATGAAAATCCCCTGAACTTATGCTAAATAACGAAAAATACCTAAATCTATTCGTAATCACCAAAAACATCCCTGATATTTGTTTTCGTTTTACACCAACTCCATCACTTGCAATGTGACTTTTCACGGATTTTTTTTTTTTTTTTTGTGATTCCAAGGAATAGACTTTACACAATTTCAGATATTTTATTTTATTTCTCACCTATTTAAAAGAAGGTATAATTTACTAGACACATTTTCTGTTAAAAAACTCGATTAACTGTTAATCAGAGGGGGACTTTGGTTATTACCGATAGACTATATTTTTTTTCTAAAAAAAGGGATTATTTTATTATTTGAAAATCCAAAATTAAACGGCTACCACACATATTCCTAATTTCTATTCTAATTTTAATTTTAATTTTAATTTCATTTGCCACTGCTCTCACTCTCTCTCTCAGTTTCTCTCTCTATCTGAATATGTTCATGGCGGCCAGGATTCCACTCTCTCCCACCACTGATATTCCCCTTTCAATTGCAACCAATTTATTCACTTCTCCGTCGCCGAATTCGCCGTCTCTCCGTTACGGCTTCAAGAGAAAAGTACCGCCACCGTCATCTGCACCAAGATCAAATGTCGTCGTCAGCGAACAAGTTATTGAATCTCTTACTACATCTGACTCAACCCAAGCTTCTCAATCCACCCCTTCGACGCCGTCTTCTTCGTCCAAGCTCGTTCTCGTTGTTGGTGGCACCGGCGGCGTCGGTAATTTTCCCATTGCGCATTCATCAGTACATATATATATGTGTGTGTGCATATCTGCTTGTATATTTTTGTATGCTCATAACATGGAGCTTATGATTGTAATCTCCATGAAAAATTACCTGTTACGAAGCTAAATTTAGTTAACGAAAACATCGGAATTTTGACCTAGGATTTTTTAATTTAGGGGAAATAGAGAAGAGTACTATCAGAGTTGAGGTCTGAGATGATTAATTTAGGGCATAAATTTGTTCTTCAATGACTAAACTAACAAGTAAAATATTGACGGTTCTAACCCTGGAAGTAGTCTCATATGAATAACTTTCATGCAATATTTGCTTTATGGTGCCAAAATTAACAATAGACGAATACTAAAATAATGTGAACGGAGAAAAAAGACGAAGCATATAGGTTTTATTCTGTGTTTGAGGCTTAAATCTTAATCATCCTGAAATTAGCTGTCACGGGGGCATGTAAACGGATAGTACTCGTTTTGAGATAAACACTAGCGGCTTTCTTGTTATTTCTGTTAATTTGTGTGTATTTGATCAATTCAGGGCAATTGGTTGTAGCATCACTGCTTACTCGGAACATCAAATCACGGCTTTTACTCCGAAATCCGGAGAAGGCCGCCACTCTTTTTGGCAAACAAGATGAGGAAAAGTTACAGGTTTTTTTACTTAAATGTGAATCAATTGTGTCTGTTATAGTGCTTATTGTTTAGCTTTCCAGCCAAAAAAATAATTCGTCTTTTTCTTTAATAAATTCAGGATGTCGTAATTTCTTAAAGCATCTTTCTGAACTTGCTAGGTGCGGCAAGGCGACACACGGAATCCAGAGGATTTGGATCCTACTATATTTGAGGTTTGTGAATAATTTCATCTACTTCAGCTCTCGATTTATTGTTTTCCCAAAAAGTCACTAATATTAGATTTTTTATTTTATTTTACAGGGTGTGACACATGTTATATGTTGCACTGGAACAACAGCCTTTCCGTCTAGAAGATGGGATGGAGATAATACACCTGAAAGAGTAGGTCAGAAATTCTCACTTCTCAAATAATAGTTCAGAGCGTTCGTCTTTGAAAAGAATTGAACTCCAAACACTTGTTTTTGTTCCTTAATAGACTGGGAAGGGGTGAAAAACCTTGTATCGGCATTGCCTTCGTCTTTGAAAAGAATTGTTCTTGTTTCTTCTGTTGGAGTCACCAAGTCTAACGAACTTCCATGGAGGTATCTTTCTGTTTCTCGATACTTGTGAAATCGGCAAAAGCTTTTCCGTTGCTCTTTTCTCTAACCTTTATATATATATATATATATATATATATATATACAGCGTGATGAACCTTTTTGGTGTTCTAAAGTATAAGAAAATGGGGGAAGACTTTGTTCGCAATTCCGGCCTGCCATATACAATAATCAGGTTCGAAACTTCCCATTTTAAGAAACTTATGTTTTTTAGAAGTTATATATATAATTATTGAATTGCATTTCTTATGGCAGGCCAGGCAGGTTAACTGACGGACCCTACACATCGTACGATCTTAATACTCTACTCCAGGCTACTGCTGGGGAACGCCGAGCTGTGGTTGTAGGTCAAGGTATTGAGCCTTCTTATTTTTCGATTTCATTTATAAAATAAAAATATATATTTGATGCCATATATTCTCCTTTTTTCATTTTTTTTTCTTCTTTGTTCGTATACTTGTGTTGGTTAACAGGGGATAAACTTGTGGGAGAGGTTAGTCGGCTTGTAGTTGCAGAAGCTTGCATACAGGTGCTCGACTTCGATTTCACCCAATCCCAAATCTACGAAATCAACTCCGTCAAGGTATATTTTCTAAACATAATCTATGCATATCTACTTTTTTCACGTTAGAAGCTTCATTGTAAAATATAACCTCCATTTTATACACGAGTCGACAAGTACATGTTAAACAAATGCAAACAAAATTGAAACTTTGTAAAATCCAGAATAATATACATTGCATGAACTATATAGATATGTTGCTGGTAATTTCTTGAATCTTTCGTTTTCACTGCGATTTTGCCAGTGATCGAGTCAGCATACGCAACAGGGGGCCATGGCCCCCAACGGCTTCTCAAAGATTTTGTATTTAATTATATAGAATTTTTGTTAATTTTGTGAAAAAATAATGCAGGGGGAAGGACCGGGAAGCGATCCTGAAAAGTGGGAGGAATTATTCAAGACTGCTCAGAAATCACTACCAACGTTGTAATCTCATTTGATAGACGTGTATATATATACACACGCTGAAACAAGTTTCAAACTGCGAAGGTTAGCTTGAAACAGTTGTTCGTTTTACACGAAAGTGATGTACATAACTTAATACAGATAATGCAACTTGAATCAATTGAATCGAAATTCGTATGCCAAAATTATGATAAAAATTAATCAGGTTGTATGAATATTTACGTAATCTTACAGTTCCGACAAATAGATTAAATGCAATTTTTTTATTTTTTTACCATGATCCAATTTTTTTTCTTAAATTACGAAACATGAATAAGTGCAATTAGAGTTTGTATGCGAAAGTTATGATGAAAATAAATGAAATCTTTAATGACGTATGGACATACTTCGAAATTTATATGTAATTAATTATATACATACGAAACCCTTTCTTTCATTTTTTTTTCGAAAATAAATAAATAAATTTCAGTGGGTGAGGTTTATAACTAATCTTTATGGGGATATAAGCAAGTTGTAACAAATTCCATATCCCGTTCAAAAAATTCAACTTTCATACTATATAATAATATGGGCAAAATATATAGATCTCGTATATAACAATTATATATAAATATATACATAATTATATGAATATACATACTGGGTTTAGACCTAAATTAATTATTAATCAAGATCCAGGTTCTAAAAAATATATTAAAAAAAAGGCATCAAATCAATAGCAAGTTGCAAATCCATCCCCCCTCTCCTTTTGGGTAATAGTTGACGCATGCATTATGGCCTATGGGCAAATTATTCAACTAACATTCATAAATACATTTTAATATAGTTTGAATAATTAATTCATTCAAAATTTATCATATACAATTTTAGAAAGCTCGAAATATTTGACAATGTGAATGTATGTAAGCCGCCGGCATGATCTTTATTAGTGATCAACCATACTATATTGTGTTCTTTCTCTTAATTACAAAAAATAGGCCAATTATGACTAAATGTCAGACTTCTGACTTTCATGTTGTAATTAATTAATAATTAATTAACCAATCAAATAAAATAATTGCCTACTAGGTTTTTTGCCATCCCTATATATATAGTATATATACTACTCGTATTCGGCATCGGAACAACACTCAACTCGTTTTTCGGAAAATTTAGACACGGTAAGGTTATAAATGGCAATTATGAAAATGAATATAGTTGGCGGTTTTGCGAGGCCAAGTGCAACGCCAACAATCGAGAGGAAACTAGAAAGTGTAGATCATATTAGGCTGCCGGAAAGTGTACGGAAATCGAGAGTTCTGATAGTCGGCGGCGCTGGAGTTGCTGGCCGGAACACCGCCGCTGCACTCACTAAATTCTGTCCTGATCTTCATATTGTCATCGCCGGCCGTAACAGGTGATTTTCATTTTTCAATTTTTTTTTTAAATTATTTTTGCAATGCCTCTCCAAATGTAGCATATGCATCTCTCTCTCTCTCTCTCTCTCTAAAAAGATATGCTTGGGTTTACTTTTTTATTTTTGAGTAATATATACAATTTCTGGGAATATATGTATGTATATATTGACATAATGATATATAAATTGGAAAATTACGTAATGTACTATTTGATTTCAATAATGATTAATGACATTATTTTATGAAAATAGTACATATTAAGAAAGAAAAAACAACAACATTTTTTTGCTACGTTAATTAAGATTTGTTTGACCCTACACCGGAACCCGGTGATAAACACCGGGTGGGTCTTCTGCTATCATATATCTCTTTTTTGTATTTTATAATAGATTCCCCGCTAGAAAAATAAAAAAAAGGAACACGTGGCAGCAGAAGACCCACCCGGTGTTTATCACCGGGTGTAGGGTCGAAAGAACCGTTAATTAACCACCCCTCGGTACTACTAAACCAATTATTTAGATTTTTTAATCAAAATAATATAATATATATATATATATATATATATATATATATATATATATATATATATATATATATATGAGGTAATAAAGAAGTTTATGCAATATACATAGAGATATTTGTAAAATTTAAAATAAATTTTGCTAATCCATGTGAGTATGTGAAGTATACTGTATATATCATCATAGATCAAAATTTTGAGGTTACTTATTTGCACATGGAAGGTTAATTGAGCTTAATTTAATTATTATTTATTTTTAAATTGGAATATTTTCTCTTACATATAAAAAAACCCGTGTGCAGGGAAAAAGGTGGTCGAGTTGTAGCAACGTTGGGTGATAACTCGGAGTTTGCTCAAGTCGACATTGAAGATGTCAATTCTTTACACGCAGCGATGACTGGTTTTCATTTTCCCCGCTTCATCTTTACCTCAACATTTTTTTAATGCATATCAAGTGTTTGTATTAATGCCCCAATGAACCCAAAACTTGATTGTATTAATTAACATGATCTCTGTTTGCTGATTACTTTCCTTCAACTTGTAGATGTGGACGTTGTTGTTCATGCAGCAGGCCCGTTTGAATACGCAGACTGTAATGTTTTAGAAGCCGCAATCCAGACCAAGGTAAGAACTACGAACATGATCCTTGTCTTGTTTTTTTTTTTTTTGCTTCCGAAGATTATGTTCATCATGGTGTTTCTCTGCATCTAAAACAGACAGCATACATCGACGTCTGTGACCATGAAGGATATTCAAGGCGTGCAAAGTCCTACAAGAACAAGGCAATGGCTGCAGGCGTTCCCGCCATTACAAACGGTGGATTCAATCCAGGAGTGAGCAATTGTAATGTTTATAACATTCTTGTTCGATTTTAATTGTCTTTTTAGTACGCGTACAGAACAAAATGAATGTGAAATAAATATTCAGTTTCGACTTTTTCTAATTCTATGTTTTGATCCATTGTGTGACAGTGATGGCAGCAATGCTTGTCGATGATGCAAAGAGTGAAAGCAGAGGCCGCCCTGAGAAGCTGAGGTAATCATCCAAAATATTAGTGCGATTATTCGTGTTTGTTGCTTGTCTTTGAGTAAGACGTTTTTCTTAATCTTGATTAAGTTCTTCTTAGAGATTTAATTATCTTATCATATCTATTTCGTCGATCAGATATTTTCCTTCATTCTTTTCTGCTTGCGTTTTCTTACTTAATAATGCCGTCTGCCCAGATTCAACTATTTCACCGCTGGCAGTGGCGGCACGGGTCCAGGAGTTCTGGGCACAACCTTTTATCTAATGGCAGACGAGGCGGTTACATACCATAAAGGTCGGTTTTTTCCTGCCTACACGGCTACAAACGATTACGATCTTAAGGTTTACTGAATTAGAAAAAAAGAAGGAACATTTGCAAGTTATACCGACTTTATTATTATTTTTAGTTTAATCTGCATTTTTCTCCATTGTCCATTTTGTTTTTCACCGTAACATTGAATTATTTCAGGAGCAAAAGTGAAGTCGAAACCTTACACCGATATGCTCAACACTGACTTTGGAGAAGGGATTGGCAAGAAGGAGGTTTTTCTTTTGTACGTCATCTCATCACTCTAAAAGCATTGAATCGTGGCAGATAATTTCAGTCGACTATATTTTTACGTAAATTATGAATCAAACCCATTGTACGAATAAGCTAAACATGAATATGCCTCTCAAAGTCTCTTTTAGAATGGTAAAGACAATCTTAATTCAAGCATGAAAACACTTGTTTCAGTCCAAGGAATCTTTTAAATACATCTACTGTTTTTGCTTCCGCAATAAATATATATTTGGCTTTGTATCCTCTCCTTTTGATATCGTCGTATCCTTTTTTTTTTTTTTTTTTTTTTTTATCTTTTTACTTTATTTATTAATTTTTTTATATATATAGGAATGTACCAGAGGTGGCAAGTGCTCACGAGGTTTTTGGAGTACCGAATATCAGTCCTCCGCTTTGGAACTGCCCCATTCTTCCCCAATTGGACTCTTTCAGCTATGATCAAAATCCTGCCTACTGTATGCCAACTGCACTATATAATTGCTTTCTACATTTCACAGTCTTTTATTCGAAAAAAAATAATACAAACATAAAAAAAAAAAAAATGTGCACGCATTCTGACAAACTACCTCGGATTTGTCCCAAATTTGAAGGAAATTCTGAAGAACAAAAACATAGTTCAGATGTTGGTGCAACTATCTTATCCAATGATTCGCGCGGTGGATGTAATATCTGGGGAGAACGCTTCAATAAAGGTACGTAAAAAATTG